GCCCTTTGTACCTCGTGGCCTGTCCGCGCTCTGCTATTTATGGCCAGCGGCCAGCTCTCAGTGGCCTCTGCTTGTGGGCTTATCTTCTTTGGAACATAATTTATTTCATTGTAGTGCTGGCTTTATTAAATGCCCGCATTATTACAGATGGACCGCAGACTGATTGCTGAGAGCAAGCGACCAGATAAGGAAAGAGAGGCAGAGTTAGTGCAGGATGTGTGTGGGCGGTTGTTAGAAAGAGAGAGAGAGAAAAGTCTGTACGGTGAATTGGGGTCACGTTGCTCCTAAGAGTCGAATAAATTAACGGGAACCTTCAGGGAATTACTCTGGGAAGTGAGCTTGCCAACATGCGTGCACTTGCATGATGCGTCATGTCTGTTTTAGTCTCGCTGTTGCTCCCTTCAGGCCCCATAATTAACAGACATGCTGTGCCAATTGAGGTCAAGGTCATGGTGGTTATTAGTGCCAGACAAGAGCATCGTTCTGTCCACTGACGGGGGCCACTGAGCTTGCACAACTGCTGCAAGCTCCATTAATCTGCCCTTATGTCAACATGTACCACTGCTCAGCACATCAGGCATGTACTTGTTGACCATGTCCATGACCTGTTGACTGTTTACCACCATCAGCTGGATTAGTTAATTAATTAAAATTAGAAATTAATTGCTTTGTTTAAAGATTTCAGCATTATCCAAAGTGACTAAAAATAAAAATTTCCCCATAATTTCACTGAATATTAAATAAATTTTAAACTAAGATTCTGAAGCAAACTTGATGTATCCCCCTACATTTTTTTTCCCTTCTTCTTTCGGCTGCTCCCTTCTTCAGGGTCGCCACAGTGAGCAAAGTCACACAATGATTTGGCAGTTGTTTTACTCCAGATGTCCTTTCTGATGGAACCAATGACCACCGAGCTACCACAGCCCACCCGTGGAGCAGAAGGCTGCCATGTAGGACGCCTCGGGGAGCCGCAGGGGGTTAAGAGCCTCAGAGTTGTGTAAATGAGGGTGGAAGGGTGGGTGCTTCACCTTTCCCATCCAAATTTTGATGTTACCATCAGGGGAATTCAAACTGGTGACTTTACGATCACAGGCTTGCCGTCTCTAACCTCTGCACCACCTCTCCACCTTAACTGGGCTCATAAAGCTGACAGCACACAAAACAGACTGAACATAGCTGGCATACGGAGACAAAAATTCAAACATACAAAAAAAAAACTAAACAACTATTCACCTCACACACTAAATGATGAAATTACACTGGTACTTCTGCTAAAATGAAGAGTATAGAATTGAGACCAGTGCTACTACAGCTTAAGCCTCGTATGAAAACTATTCCAATAAAATTCTTACACAAGGATCGCTTTAAAATACAAACCATGTTTTAGGCAGCAAAACTTTAGCATTTACATTATTTATGAAAATATACAGTATATCTATTAACACAAGGATGTGCCAAAATAATGCAGCCTTACAGTTAATAAGACTGCTTCACTCATTCCCATTTTATTTACCCACAAAATAAACAATTACGTGCAACCCAAACTACTACTGGTCGCAAGGGCATCGAGTCCCAGAGGCTCAAGGGGATTAACCTGTATAAATAAAGGTTGAATGAACACAAAGTTTCAGCAAGCTCAATATAGTATTTTTATTATCTAATAATTATGACTCGTCAGGCAAAAAAAGGTTTGTAGGCTCAATCATCCAGGTAGATAACAAAAGAAGGTTAAATAATTTCATCTGGACCAGTTTCTTATCAGGCAAAATGAGTCTGAATAAGCACAGGCTGCAGTGGAAATCAAATAAAAGAACAGATTTTTACTGTAATTGAGATTTGTGTATAAATGAATCCATAACGGTACCATCTAGTGATTTTGTGGTCTTTCTTATAGCCTTTATTGAAGTTGTCTAACTTGTATGACTTCAGACATGATCCTTTGTCTTTTAACTTCTAAAATTTTATTTGAAATTGACAAATTTTCTCTGCTGGCTGCAGGGAAATCCCTTTGAATATTTGGCACCATTATTGTTTAAGAATCCCCCTATTTATTAAGGTGACATTCTACACCAATAAAAACCGAGTTTTCGAACTGGCATTCTAATAAACAAAACTAGTTTGTTGCTGGCCTGGTGATAAATTGCCAAATTTCAACAAACTACATATTTTGAGGTGGATAATTTAAAAATAATACTCAATATTGTAAAAAAAATTCTCATTGTGAGTCATTTTGCCAGGACAGGTCACAATAGTTTAACTTTTTTTGTTGTTGTTGTTGTTTAGAAGATATTCTCCAGACCTCCTGTTTCGTCCGACTCTTATTTTGGCAACCACCGAGCCAAATGCTACTTCCGGTGGCCATGTTTGTCTAAACGTTTTAAAAATTTTCTTGGCGTTTGTATATAATTAATAGGATTCAGCTGTAGGTTTGTTGTGCAAGTATCTTTCCGTGTAGCATTTTTTTTTCAAGTGACTCTAATCACCTTAAAGATTTTTAAATTTCATTTTTAAAAACTTGGCTTTGATGCTAACAAAGCTAACTGCACTGTTAGCTGAAGAAGCTAGCTAAGCGGCTTGTCAGTAGTGGCTAACGCTCAACAGAAGAATAACGGTGAGAAACGATTTTAAAAACTAAAAGAAAATGTTATTTAATATCGGTTTGATATATGTTTTAATTATATAAAATTATGTATGTGGTTCATGACACTTGAGCGCGAGCTCCGTGGAACCTGCCATTCTATTCTCGCAGCGCGCGCGCTCCCTCTCTGTTCTCCTTCGTGCACGGTCGTGCACCTTCACTCCGGTCTGTTATTTTTTTTGGTGACATTAATCCAAACTTCAGTCTCTTAAACAAATAGGCCAAAAAGCTGGGGCGTAATGGACGAGTGACGAAACGACTGAATGTGAAGGAGGAGAACCGAGGAGGAGCAGGAGGAGCAGGAGGAGGAGGGAGACGAGCAGACGCATCTTTGGAGCTTTTCTTCCGACAGGAGGAGGGACTGGTTCAACATTCTTGCTAATCTAACCCAGTAAGAGGACAACTGAAGGTGCGTCAGGACGATGGAGCAGCATGAAGACACTTGTCCATCTTGGACAGTGTCCACTCTGGAACAGCTGCGACCTTTTGTCTGCTGCTGAACAGACGTCGGTCTGTTGGACAGAGTTTTAGCCCTCGGGAGCAAAGTGGAGACTCTAACTGCGGGCTGTTCTTTTCAGAGGAGACCCCCCCCCCCCCCCCCCCCCATCTCCTCCTTACATAAATGTTTGCGTGCCGTTAGTGCTCTCGTTCTCGGCCGACCCCCTTTCTCCATCGGAGACGCAGGCACACGCGCACTCCGTCACTTGTCCCACATGCGCCCACAATAACCTCACCCCTGTCACCCACCCAGCCCCCCCCCCCCCCCCCCCACACACTTCGCCGATCCCCACTATCTGATGAGTCCCCGGCGCGCAGGTGGACGTGGAACGGAGCCTGCTGCTGTAGCATCATCTTCCTCAGCGTCACCATCATCCTCCTCTTCCTCGACATGTCCTCGTCGTCGCGCAAGATTTCCTCCGAGTCGTTCAGCAGCTCGGTGGGCTCGGACTGCGGGCTCGAGAGCCCCGGGGGAGACGGAGGGGACGGCGCCCTGGAGCCGGCGCTGGAGAGCCGAGGCTGCCCGTTCGCCTCCTTCCCGTCCGCCCACAGAGCGGCTCTCTGGAACGGCCGCAGCCCGGGAGACAGGCCGGTGTGCCCGGCGGGCGACGAGCAGCAAGCACCCTGCGTGCCCCACAAGAGGGCGACCAGGAGGAGACGGGTGAACCTCGACTCGCTGGGGGAGAGCCTGAAGCGACTCACCTCACCCACGGTAGGCCTCGCGGTGGGGGGTGGGGGGGGGTTGCTGAATTATTATGCGTAAAGTTGCGGCATAATGACATTTTTAATGCACAGAAGTGGCTTCTCCTGCTCAGTGTGCGAAATGCAGACTGTTGGGGAAAGTTTCATTTATTCCACACAAATTTAGGATTAACAAAAGGCTGTGCTTTGAAAAACAATCAAATCTGCAAAATTATCAAATTGCACAAAATTCAGGAAGCGTTCACAGATTTTCCAGAATCCCAGAAAATGTCCTTCCACGATGCGATGGTGTGCGCTGTCTAAGAACTCAGCCTCTTTCTCCTTCCTCCGTGACAGCCTGAATCATCTGGCAGATTATATAATAAATATGTTGTTGTGAGGCAGAACAAGAAATGCCCTTGCCCCGTCTGCACACACAACACAGTGTGTGTGGAGTGTGACAGATGAGCCCGAGTGTGTGTGTGTCTCAGTTGAGTTGCAGGCTGTAATGAAATCAAGCAGCTATTACAACCGAGGCCCATTGTGACCGATCTGGTTTGCAGAGACATTGTCGTTTTAGGTGGATGGTACAAGTTTAGGATTATATTGCCTTTCAAATAAGATGTGGACTTTTGTTTGAACAAGTTTCCTTATAATCCTACAGGTGGTTACAAACAGTCTTGCAAGAAGCTGTTATCAAACTGTAGGGCTGCATGTGCATTCTTTGTACTCGACATTGTTGCAGTGAGCATAACACTGTAATCCTCTTTTAGCAGTCAGTGGACAATACTGAGATTTAGTCTGCTGACAGGACCTAATATTGTCTTTTTCTACTAGTGTTGTGTTTAAGACCACCTAACCCGAGACCAAGACCTCAAATAAAATAAATAAAATATAAAATTGTATTATAAAATCCAACATTTTTTAGTCAGGTCATCTGGACAGTTTCTTTTTTTGCTGAAAAGTTTCACCTTCCATCCAGAAGGCTTCATCAGTCAAGGAAACACACAACACAAAACTGATTCTTAGTTTTGAACCAGTGTGACATGACTGTCGACGAGGAAGAGGGCTGGCACCAAGAGGAGGGGGCGTGCCAAAGAAACCATCTTAGCACCAACATAACTGGTTTGTTCCACTTGGGAGTAAGAAGTTTGGGGGAAGAATCAGTTTTGTGTTGTGTGTTTCCTTGACTGATGAAGCCTTCTGGATGGAAGGTGAAACGTTTCAGCAAAAAAGAAACTGTCCAGATGACCTGACTGAAAATTGTTGGATTGTATACCTGGATTATTGAGCATGGACTTTTTTGGTTTATTATAAAATATTTATTTTAAATAAAAGTTACACACTTCAACTTTAAGTTTGCTTTTGAATGAATGTATCGGCTTTTATAAATTTTCAAAGCTACGTAAAGAACTCAGACATTCAGTGGCCTGACTTCATGTGATTCAACAATAAAATTAGACAACTGTTAAACGAAGCAGTTTCATCACGTCTTAAAAAACTGCAGTGGCAAAACAATCTTCATAAGTCTGAACTCAAGTCCAAAGATAACCATATAGTTGAACAGTGGTTTCAATAAACGAGTAGATAGACACCTAAAAAGTTACATAAATAGATATTAGTTACAAGTATATTCTTTGTGATTTAAATAGTTGAATTTTATAACTCATGATATGGCAGATATCTTCTCCAGCTCCCAGACAATCACTTTTCACTTTCTTGGAGTGACCAGTGTTGCCAGATAGAGTTGAGGTTTTCCAGCACAAAAATCTGTTAAAAACTGCCACATCACACAAATCCGCCCAATCAATATACTGTTGCAGTATATTTACTGTTTGAACATGAACACACATCAGTACAAGCCAAGGTAATTTAACAATATGTGGCAAAACACAACAATCCAACAAAAATCTTCCCAGAGTTCCCAGAAAAATCTGAATGGAAACCGCCCAATCTGGCAACATTGGGAGTGAAGCATGGGTGTGAAAGGGGGTGGGCGTGGCATCGGTAACAAAAAACGTATTTAGCAATGAGTCACGTTATCTCTTGGATGTGAGCCAGTACGTTTTGCATCCAATAAAAACAAAGATGTTAACAAATAAACTGGACAATATTCTGGCAATTTAGTGATATTTCCACAGTTGTGGTCTTGACTGGCCTTGAAATAAAATCCCGAGTCCTCACTGTCCGAGACAGAGACAAGACGAGTGGTCTTGAGCCCAGTCTCAAGACCAAGACCGGTCTCGAGCACTACAACACTACTATACTACAGAAATGTAATTACAATCAGATCTGCTCATGTTCCAATAACTGCGACAGCATTGGAAGCCTATTAACGTACACATTTGTACAACAACATTTTTATCTGCCCCTTTGGCATTTGACAATTGACTCCGTGTTGCGGTTGCTCTGGATTATGCTCTTGGCTTGTTTGAATTTGAGTAAACATAATTTGGTCTTTGTTTGATTAAATTCCAATCCTTGGCTGCCAGTAAACTTGTCCATGTTTGCATTTTGTGGTCAGATCAGAAAAAAGCTGGAGTGTACTTCTCTGGTTGAACCATTGTTGTGTAACCACAGTTAGCACTTGATTGTAACGCTCAGTGGACTGGGTTAATAAACGTGCTTCTTGGTTTTAGGAGTGACACTTTGCAGACAAACCTGCTCGCCAGTGGTGACTAACTGTGTTTAGAGTTCAACTTAGAGCACTCTGTGCAGAAGCTGAAAGGCAACATGCTAAGATTTTGTTTTCATGACATTATCTTGCTAACTGAGCTTGGATTCTTGAGAAAGGTTAATATATTCAAGCTCAAAGAATGTGTTCAGGGTGACCATCAGGCTGTCGATTACTTCCACATCTAATTGTGACTCAGTATCTCTAAAATTAACTGAGTCGTAACAGTTTATTTAATTTGAAATAAGGACAGCAACAGATGTGAGATAACAAAATCACATCATGCCTACAAGTACTGTTCTCGACTTCTGTAGGTTTTTGTTACACAATAGTTACTTTATTATACAATAAAACTGCCACAGTGAGCGTAGTGACCTTCCTTTTAAAATGTTTTGTATTGACTTCTGTCTTTATAAGGCTCTCTTTCTGGAAATAGTCTGCTTTGATTAAAGGAGGGCTACACGTCTTATTCTTGGTTTATTTTCAACTGATGTAGCCACTCGCCGGCAACAAAACAAATGTGTATGTTGGTGATGCATCAGGGGCGGCAAAGCAAGTTTTACATAACATTTACGTGCATCTGGAGACAGTACTGTTTCAGATTCACACTAAAAGTTGCACCGTTCTCAGAACCAACCTAAAAATATGGATGAACTGAAGCAAATTGTTCAACTGTTCTACTTCTTAGAAATGCTGGCAGGTTTGGAGCTGTGTTAAAGTAACAGCCCCCACTGCTTCTCGAGTGCAGAACACACTGGTACATGCTACTGGACATTTCAAAGAAATAATTACCGTATTTTTTGCACTATAAGTAGCATTTTTTTTTGCATAATTTACATGCCCTGCGACTTATTTATGTTTTTTTCAGAATCAGAATAAACTTTATTATCATTGCACCGAGATACAACCAGAACATGTACGTACAGTCATCCGAAAGATGGGCGGAGTGCACGAAGCTGCTACTATAAAAAGCGCGGCTTTCTTATTCTTATTCAGAATAATATTTTGCTTAGATGAGAAAAGGGAAGAAAACATGAGGAGAGACGATATAAAAAAAAGATCTCATGCCGTGTCCTAGACAGGGCACGATTTGAGGCATAAAAAAAAACCTACCATGGCAAAGCAACATAAATAGAAATTATATTATAGGCCAGTGAAGACCTTTTCCACCCACATTTTGATGTTGACTGTACCGGGAGTTGAACCTGCGACTTTCCGATCACAGGCCCATCTTCTAGCCTCTGTGCCACCACTCCGGCTCTGCCGCTGCTGCTGCCGCTTCAACATTCAAAACTTCCTCCCATTTCCTCAACCGCACTGTCTCTTTCACTTCTTGTTACAGACTGGATGGGGTGGAGTCACGTGATTACAGACTGCACGTAGCGCAGCGTCTTAAAGGGACATGAGCATAGCTTACCTATACACAGCCAAAAGACAAAACGACTTTCATTTTATTTTTTTAAAACACCGAAAATATCGACATGGGCAAAATGACGTCGATCATTGTTATAAATTTCGGTGTCAGTAAATTTTCAGTATATTGCCCAGCCCTAGCACCAGCTCTCTGATGCAACTGCACATAATTCAGTCCGAGTGCTGCCGAGCTTCGACACATCCACACAAATTTGTAGACAATCCAGATTTCACCATCCAAACAGTGAAAAAAACAGTTGTCATCATGAATCCAAATTGTTTCCGTCGAGGTAAGAGTGTCCTCCTTACCCTGACTCCTGTCAGGAGAAGTTGATCAATTTTGTTGAGAGACCAGCTGACCATCCTTCGAATTAGGATGGTATGCAGAAAAAAAAAAAAAAGGCTCTTTAAGGGTTCACAGGACGAAAGAGTGCCTGGCCCTTTAATGAGAAAATACACTTACTGTTACCATATTTTTTGCCCTATAAGTCACTTATTTATTTATTTATTTTTTGCATAATTTGCATGCTCTGCGACTTATACTGTAAGTCGAAGTGACGTATTTATGGATTTTTTTCCCCATATTTATGAACCAATTTGTGGCTGAGATATGACTGTTTTCAATCATTCTGACTGAAAATATTGAACACTACCATTTGACTGATGAAGCCTTCCGGACCGAAGGCGAAACGTTTCAGCACACACACAAAAAGAAACTGTCCAGATGACCTGACTGAAAAATGTTGGATTGAACACTATACCATTTTCAGCTGCTAGATGGTGCTCGAGTAGTGTGGCATGCTGTTGTGTCATGTAATAGGTAAAAGTGACTATTAAGGACACAATCGGCTTCCCATAGCCTGCCACCTATGTCCAGCTCACCTGGAGCAACCATCGAATCAGCTTCATTTCACTGTGCCGCCCAGTGAAATGAAGCTGATTTG